CCCAGCTCGTCACACACCTGCCTGCCTGGTCCCGCAGCCTCTCTTCTGGTAAAGCAGAAGTCCATCAGGAAGGCTGCTGGGCAGCCAGAAGGAAGTTAGTGGCTGCAGGATGTGGGGACTGTCCTTGCAGGAGGCTGCAAAGGGACTAACTTCTCAGCAAGGCTGGCCTTGCAGAACCCATCACTGACCTGCCTCTGGCAGCACTGAGGACCCTGGAGCCTGGACTGTTCCAGCTGAAGACTGGCCAGACCTCAGGCGACAGAGTGCGAGAAGGAGAGAGAAGAGGGCAGATAGGAAAGTCCCCAGAAGGGGTGGGGGTGGGGGGAGTGACTCAGATGCAGAGGGGAAGTGGGAGGAAAGACGAAGGGGCCCTCTGTTGGGAATCCTCCCTCCCTGGGGCGTGAGGCACCCCAACCCCCACCAAGCTATGCTCCGACTTCTGCAAGATCAGACATCCACCCGCACCCCCCTAGCCTCCTGGATCTCGCCACACACAACTCGCACTCAGGACTTGGTCAAGTGACTCAGCCTTTGAGGTTTGAGGTCTAAATTGACCCCTAAGGTATAGGTGAGTTCCCAGGGCACTCTCTCTAATAAGGACAGGACCCTGGGACAGCTTAAGCTTGACAGCACCCACAGGAAGCCGCAGTCTTTTCAGAGGGTAAAAATACAAAAGCCTCCCATTACTGGCCCTCCGCCAGAGTCCCATGAGGTTCTCTGAGGCCTTTGGCTGGAATCTGCATATGCAAAAACTTAGGAAGCTAGTTGTTGGGTGACAGGCAGCACCCCTGTCTTCTAAGACCACTCATGACCTTAAAAATCCCCACACCATATCTGTGCTGTTTCTGGTTTCACACACTCAACTCTTAGCACTTGGCCAGCTAGGTCCTCCAGGCCCAGGAGAAGCCGAGGCTCAGAGGCCCTGTGCCCTGCCCAGAGCAACCCAGCTGGGTGACAAGGGGCTGTGCCCCAGTTTTATGCCAGTCCGAGGGCTGCTGTTTGCTCTTCCCTTTTCTTCTGCCACCTGCCTTCCACGTAATTAAGTGATAATGAATTCATTTCTCTATTTTTGTTATTTATCAAAGCAATATGTAGCTGTCAATCAGAGCATCTGTTGGGCAAAAGGAAAGAGGTTTATGGGCTGGATCTCTGTCATTCTGGCCCAAAGGAAAGGACTGTTGCCAGCCTAACAGCCTGGTAGCTCCGTGGGGGGGAAGCGGAGGCAGCCAGAGGCTCATTTCGAGCTACCTCAGTGTCAGCACTGATGACCGCTACCAGGGCCAGGGCATAGGCTGGACTTGGGATTGTGATACCAGTAACTTAGTAAGTATCGATTCTGTGCCAAGTACTTGGCTGAGCACTTGAAAGCACTATCAGGATGAGGAAAGCGGCTCAGAAGGGGTTAAGTAAGGTGCTCAAGCGCCACCCAGGCCTGCAGGTCATCAACCAGTTAGGGAAGAGAGGGAAGGGCAGGTGGCCCCAGGAGCTTGTGAAGAAAAGCTCAGGCCAGAAGGAAAGGGAAGTTAGCCGGCCAAAGCGAGGGGTCCTGAGATGAAGTGGGCTGGGAGGCTAGGCAGAGGGGCAGGGCCTGTGCGGGCCAGCAGGACAAGGAACTAGGGCACCTTCCTCAGATTCCACAGCAGATTCACAGTTATGTGACTGCCTGAAAGGCAGGCAGGTGTCAGCTTACAGAGAGAGCCCTCCAGAGCTCTTCCTAGGCTGCTGTCAGCACAAGGGTAGCCATCCCTGAAATTTTGTGGGCCTGTCCCACACTTTTTATCTTGGAAGCTTCTAGAAACAACTCTGAATGAGTGGGCAGAGAGAGGGGAGGAGAAGGGTGGCAAGGGGAGAGAAAGAGCGAGAGGGGGGGAGGGAGGGGGGAGGATGGATTTCGCCTGAGGCTATAGGGGTGGGGGTGCACAGGCTCTAAGATGCAAGGCCTCTATGCTTGGCAGCAGGCAAAACTCAGCCCATGTCATCTTTAAGTTCTACCTTCAGGAAAACCTATAATCCTGAGCAGGCCATTTCTCCTTTCTGGGTCTCAGTTTTCCTGTCTGTAAAATGGGGAGAGGGGCTGGAGTCAGCTGGCAGGGAGTCAGCTGGCAGTGTGGTGGGTGGCAGAGCCTGCTGCTGTTTCCTCCCATTCTCCCTTTGACCACACTGAATAAATGGACCAGGAGATTGCACAGAAGTTCTGGTGAGCATCAAGGTTCAAGACCCTGATGGAATAAGGCTGGAACATAAGAGCCTTTGAGAATCACTACACACCACCTAGCCGCACCTCCCCTCCCCCGCGCACTTGGGTAGACTGAGGTCCAGGGATGATACCTCCTAGCTGTGGCTGCCAAAAAAAAAAAAAAAAAGAAAAAAAGAAAGAAAGAAAAGAAAAAAGAAAAAAGAGCCATCTTCACTTCCCAGGGACACCGACTTCCTCTCCTCCCTGCCTCTCCCCTGCTCTCCAGAGCCCTGGCTACGATCCTGGGACCTGCTGGGCCCCAGGAGGCAGCAGCCACTTGCACAGTGGAAGCAGAACAAGCGTTCTGTGCTTGGAGAGGCCTTCTGTGGCGGTTCCCAGCCGGGATTCGGCTGGGCTGGGCTCAGCGGGCACAGTAAGGCCTTGTTTCCCTGAACACAGCATCAGCAGCTCTGTGCCCCAGCCAGGGGGACTCTGGCGAGTGGCACTTCCTTCCCCTGAGGTCCAGCTTTCTGGTCCCTTCCTGCCCTGCCGCCCCTCCCAACACCCCAGCGAGCAGCTAGTGCCAAGAGGCAGCTCTGAGGAGTCCACAAAAGTACTTCTCCATCAAACTCGTTCCCCCCAAAACAGCCTGTGTGAATTGAGTGCTCTTTTCAAGCACACAGCTTCCAGACCATTCTCCCTACTGGCTCTCCACCAAAGTTATTTTTCCCTAGCTTGTTCTTTAGGGGTATCTGGGTTCCCCAAAACATTGCTATGGTTTGGGGGATAAGAATACTACAGAAACACAAGAGAAGGGTGATTGAAGAGTAAGGTCAAATGGGCTGGTGGCGGCCACACGGGGGAGGAAAGTCAGCTATACACACAGACACTGGAGCAGGTATCTGTGATAGAAAACTCTGAAGGGCAGACCATGGCTTTTGGAGCTGCCAGTCTGAGTTTGAATCCTGATCCTACCATTTTGGAACTGTGAAGTCCTGGCAAGTAATAGTCTGTGGCTGGACTCCATCTGCAAGGGTGATGCAACCATCCTGGGTCACGGGGTTGGTGCGAGGCAGGCGTGAGCTCCTTCTCAACCCTATTGCTTCAGGAATCTACGATACACGTGAACGCCCTCTGGACTGCCCCACAGGGCAGCTCTACCTGGAAGTCACACCTGGCCTAGGGTTCAAAAGCAAGGAGTGTGGGTTCAGAGGAGTCTGAAGCAGGAGTGTCCTCTGGCCCTTTAACCTCCATGGAGAGGTCTGGGGTGGCATTATAGTAACAGCATGGGGTTTCTAGTCACCCAGGGCTGGGAACCTAACCCTCTTCCCACGTGAGGGCTGGCTGTGGGTGTAGAGGAGAAGTGGGAAGAACCTCTCTGAACCCTGGCTGTAGGGAACGCCCCCTTCCTGGCTTCCTGGTTGGTGTCTGGGCACTGTCCACTGGGTGGGGCTGGGGCTGCCAGTCCTTTACCTGCCCACTGATGTCGGCTCTCGGGCTCCCTGCAGACACCACCCAGAGCTCAGCTGCCCCATCTGGCATACATGCACTCCAGTCTAGTACCTATAGGACCGTCTGCTCCCTTTCCAGGAACTGTAGATGATGTGACAGGAAGTAGGAATGACCGGCACATGGAGGGGCACTGGCACCATCCCTACCCCCATGGGTACTGTCTCTCTCCCCCACCACATTGCTTGATTTTGTGGGATGTGGAATAGCTGAGCCCACACACAGGTCTAGAGGGTATCCTTCTAGCCTGGTAAGGGTACAGTTTGGAATCATAGGAACTGAAAGGTAGGGGTGGGAGTCCCTAGGCAGGGCACAGAGCAAGGGGCCCCCTTTCTGCCCAGAGAGAGGATGGGTGCCTGGGATTGTATGGGGAGAGGGCAGCCTTCTGACAGAAAGCAGGGGGTCATCACTGCAATCACTGCATGGCCAACGAGTGAGGGGTACGGGTACGGGGAGAAGAGACAAGAGACATGCACCCACAGTGTATAGCGGGGGGTGGGGGGTGTCTAAGGCCCGAGGGGACTCTGCCCTGAAGGGATGATAGGGTAGTTACATGTTTGTAGACGTGTGGGGGGGGGGGGACACGACACACAACAGCGACACAGGAACCCTTTCTTAGCAAGCCCACCTGAGTGTTAAGGAAATGGGACCTGGTCAACAGGGTGGGCGGGAAGGGGTGAGAAGAGCTGAAGGGTTTTTCACCACAGTAAGTAAACAGAATAATTGGTGTGTGTGGGGGCGGGAGGGTGAGTCCCAACCCAGAACTAGAGCTACCAGAGCGAAGCAAAAGAAATTAAGGGACCCTAGTAAAAGGCATATGCTAGGCGCGGGTGCCGAGAACGGGACGGTCCCCCTTGAGAGGCTGGGGCGCCTGTACCGCTGTGGGGATAGAGAGTCCAAGTGGGATGGGAGAGGAAGGGAAGACACCGGCCCTTTCTCAGTGTGTGTGGGTGTCGGATGGTAGGTTCAGTAACATTAACAGTGAGAGGGGAGTCGGCACCCTGTGTGATGGTGGGGGCTCGCTAGGGACCCGTGATTATCTGGAAGGAACCTCGGGTGCCCCCAACAAATGTGGGGTATCCTGAGGGCAGCATCACCAGGAGGGGGGTCACTGTCAGGGCCAGGAAAGGGGGGATCCCCAGACCCACTTGCGCGCTAGGGTGGCGGGTCTGGAAGCCTCGTGGCCCTCCGGAAAGGGCGGCAGAGTTCTCCACCCTGGTGATTCAGGGTCCTGAGGGAGCCTGGCTGGGGATGCTGGGGTTCGGGCCCGAGGCCGGGTCTAGGGTGGCGGGGAACCGGGCGCGAGGGCACTCACTGCTTGAACATCTTCTCCATGTCTTTGATCTGCTTCCTGGAGAACTCCTTGAACTCGGTGTAGGGGTTGAAGACGCGGCGGCTGGGCGACTGCGGCTCGCCAATGCCCTGGTTGAGGTCCGCGCGCCGCAGCAGCTTGGCGCTCAGCTCGTCGTCCGCGCTGCCCAACGCCTGGGCAGCTTCGTCGGGAGCCCCGGCCGCCGCCGCCGCCCCAT